ACGGCCATAGCGTGCTGGTCACACCGGTTCCCGTACGATCACCGAAGTTAAGCAGCATCGGGCGTGGTGCAAACTTGGATGGGTGACCGTTTGAGAACGCCACGTGCCGTTGGCTTAAAAGAGCAAAAAAAATGAGAACAAGACAAAGTAAGAACCAAAAACAAATCTTGTTCTACTGTCGACCTGAGGCAGCTCGACGAGAACGTGAATTTCACTGCTTCTGACCCTGGCCACTCCAAAGATGTTAGTCACTGGAGCCCAGTTCAGGAGACAAATCGTTCCCATCGAAAAAGACGGACTCAGGAAGACCTTCAAGAATTGATGTGGTGCTATCTTATAATAAGTGGCACCACCGAAATTCGAGTATTTGTCCCTAAGGAATCGGGTAGAAACCTCGGATAAATACTTAAAAAAACTCCGACAAGTAGCCTTGTCGTGTTTAATGGTGGATAATAATAATAATAAATAAAGGCAAATTCTAAAAAAAAAAATTTTTTTAAATTGATTTCTTTCCCGTTTTCCTTTTTTTTTTTTTTATAAAATAAAAACGCCTTGCAAAAAAAAAGTTATGCAACACAGGTTTTTCCCTTACCCCATCATTTTCATCCCTCTCCCGCGCTCAAGGTCAAGATCATTAATGATTGAAAAATATACGAGAGAAAAATGTTGCCGATTCGAGAAAAGATTTATTTATGAAAACATTTCACAGCATCCGTATCAAATTTCATCTTTGATTTAGATAAAAAATAAAACAAATCGTTGTCAATGTCACATCTACTCTCGATTCGATTCCCCCCTTCCTTCCTCCCCAAACAAAAAAAAAAAAATCAAAAAAATTGTATGTGTCGGATGTGACGTCATCTCACAGCCGTAATAAAATAATGAATTGTGATAATAATAATAACACACTTTCATAATAAGAAACAATTTTACAAATCGAACAAAAGAGAGGTACTCGACAACCACAAACAACAAACAACAACAATTTAGCAAAGAAACAATAAAAAATAATAATAATAAAAGGAATCAAACAATAGGATTAAATAAAATTGGAAAAACAAAAAAAAAAAAAAGATTTAAATTGTTTTCGACATAAGTTAAACATTAAATAATAATAATAATAATAATTAACAAGCGTACGAATACCCCTTTCACTTTTTTTTTTTTTTTCCTCTTTTATTTTCAGGTACGATAATAAACGACGACCACTTAGGATCAAAACCGGAATTCAAACGGACGTGTAACGAGACAGAAAAAAATTAAATTATTTATTTTAAATTGACGATAGTTAATTATAAGTTAAACATATGATTTAAGGTTTTATTTAAAAACGCGATTCATTAACGCGCGGACTATTTATCGGCGGATTTTCTGTTTTTTTCTAAAACCGTTTTTTTCGTGATCGCGCGTTTTAATTTTCTCTCTCTCTTTCTCTCTCTCTCTTGTGTTTTCTCCGATTTCGCGCGTTTTTATAGTTTACGTAATAAAAAATTTTTTTTTGTTAAAAAATAAATTTATTACCGTCGTAATAAGTCGAGTGTGTTTGTTTTCGGGGGGAGAAAAAAAAAAAAATTAATTTATTAAAATTTTTTTATTAAAGTGCCGGGGTAAGTTTTTCACGTGGACGACCTCGCACTGGGTAAGTTTTTTTTTTTTTTTTTTCATCATCATCATTATCATTATCATTATTATGGTTTTTTTTTTAATTACTTTCACTTTCGTGTCGTAATGGTGGTAGTAGTAGTAGAAGTAGGCTGACTAGTACCTGCTTCGTAATGGATGCGACATTTCTCTTTCATTTGGAATATTTAACCGATTTTTTTTTTTTACTTATTTCCAAACGGTTTTTATTTTATAACGAAACCTTAAATTTCATTTAAAGAAAAAACCTGGAAAAAAACCTGGAACTTAAAAAATTTGAAATATTTAAAAAATGAAATAATAATGTCGGTGAAATTTCGTTTGGGGATTCCCATTGACGTGTATTATCGTTTGTTAATTTCACCACCGCCGCCTATTACCACGATAATTTTCATTATGACCGTTAAAAATTTATTCTCATGCTGGAGAATTTTCCAGAAAAAAAAAATAACGACGATTTTTAAAACAACGAAAAACATCAAAACTCGAAAGAAAATTTTTTTTCAACTTTTTTTGTTTAAATTTTTTATATTTTTTTTGTAAACAGTTTTGCCAACTCGACAAAAATTTTTTTCCCCCTTTAAAAATTTAAAAGTCATCATCCTTATAAAAATTTATATCACGTGACGTAAAATTTCACCAAATTATAATTTTAAATGAGTTCTTAAAGTCTACTTAATAAGACTTTCTTACACTTTTTTTTTGCAATCGAATGAGGTCCTTTCCCCTTTCCTTCCCGATAAAAAAAAATCAGGAACGTAGTAAGGAACGTGCATTTTATTATTATTATTATTATTATTATTATTAAATACCCATTGGAAAAATCGATACGATTAATGCGAAGAGAAAGAAAGAAAGAAAGAAAGATAGAAAGAGGAAAAAAAAAATTTTTGTTTTTGTAATTTTTTTTTCCCGACTTCGATTATCGCAATTATTATTATCATTATCATTATCATTATTATTATTAATTAATGTGAATTACGTTAATTGGGTCAAAGTATTCCAGTAATAATTTACTCTTTTTTTTTAAATAATTTTATTTACCTACATCCTGGTCAAGTTCATCAAGTATGAACGAGAATGTGACAACTTCAACTATTTCGTTCATGTTATTAAATTTATTACACGTTACGAAATAGAAAATCGATCTATCGATCGATATATCGAAATTAAATAAGGAACGGTCATAATTGACTATTTCCTTTCCGATTCGTTTCCGGGATAGAGAGAGTGATGACGAAATTTTTTTCATTTAGTCAAACCGTATGATAAAAATTTAAATTTAAGATAAAACGTCCGTGACTTTTTTTCCCCAAAAATAATTATCGAGATTTTTATTATTTAATAAACAAACAAACAGACAAACAAACAAACAAACGAATTATGAATAAATTTTTTTTTTGTATAAAATCGCGTTTGTTCAAAAACCAAAAAAAATAAATGAATAATAAATTAAATGATATTTCGTAACGTTCAAATGAAAACTTTTCTTTTTCTTATTATTATATTTTCCATAGAGTAATAAAACGAAAAAATTTTTAATTAAATAATTATTTAAATAATTAATTAAGCAATATAAGAATTAAAAAAAAAAAGAAAAAAGAAATTTTTAACAACAACAACAACAATTCTTATGTAATTTTTTTTTTTTTTCATTTAAAATTTAAAATTTTAATTAACGTTTCATTAGTACCCATACGAGATGAAAAACAAAGCAAAAAACCGTTAATTATTTAATTGTATGCGACGTTGCCAAATTTTTTTTTCCCTTCTTCTTGTTTCCACGACGATTTTAATTTTATTATTAAATATTCCGCGAATTAACAAAAAAAAATTAAAAATTATGTAATTTAAAAAATCAGGAAAATCTACGACGACGACGACGATTATGATAATGATGATGATTGTAATGATGATTATAATGATGATGATGATGATGATGATGATGATGATGATAATGATAATAATAATGATAATAGTGATGATTATAATGATGATTATAATGATGATGATATTTAATTTGAAATTTTTAAATATTAATCGGTCAAACCGTTTTTTTTTATTTATTTATTTAAAATTGATTAATGTTAATGACGGTTTTTTTTTATTTATTAATTTTTTTTTTAAACAAAATGTCGTCGAGAATCGATTACGACGACGACGATACACTTGTTTCGATAACGTAAAACACTAAAAAAAAAAAAAAAACTTGAATGAATAAATGTCAGTTAACATAATTTTTTTGTAATTTTATTTCATTCTTTGCGATTTTCCCTAAAGAATATTACGTAATTAAAAGAAAAAGGGGACGGGGAGTGGGGAGGGGAGAGGAGGGAACAACGTTAAAAATAAATCCCGGATTATTAAAATTTTTTCCGGGTTATATTTTTTTTGGCGGGAAAACAACAATTAATGCCATCAATACATAAAATTTTTAATTCGACCGTGAACAACCAGAAAAAAAAAATTAAATAGATGATGATGATGATTATTATTATAATATAAATTTAAAATGGCGCCGATTATAAAAATAAAAATTAATTAACCCGAATTGACAAAACATTCGAAGGGAACGGGTAATATAAAAATTATCTGTGGGCGGTTGTTTGTTGCGGTTGTTGTTTTCCAACAACAGCATTACAAACAACGATGTTAAGTAATAATAATAATAATAATAATAAAACTCATTCGATTATCGATTGGGGAAAAGGTTAGTTGACCCACCAGATAACCTCGAAATAATTTTCCATATTAATATATATATATTTAATAATCTAATGACACGATTTTGATTTTTTTATAAAGACGACATTTTGATTTTTTATTTAAGGGCAAAACAATTTAGGGAAAAATTTTAAATTAATTTTAAAATTTTAATTCCTGGATAAATTTATGGAATTTTTTTTTTCTTAAAAAAAAATAGAATAAAATTTTGTAATGTTTTAGGTTTTCCATTCCCGCCTTCTCCTCCCCTTGAAAACTGGAAATGAAAATGGCGTAAATTTTTTTTTACGATGCAATATTATCAAAAACTACTTTTGTGTAATGGAATTTTCCAAAAATGAAATAATAATAATAATTATAGAAATCATTTGAGTTTGTTAATATATATGGGAAGCCTACCTCGACCTGATTTTTCTGTTTTCTCCAGATTTCTTCTTAATATTTTAAGAGAAAAAAAAAAATTCCAGACATTTTTTCAAAAAAAAAAATTCATCCTCGTTAATTTATTTGAAACTAATCGTAATCCGTAAATAAAAACGGTTACGTAACGGTTTTCCCCCTCCCTCCTTCCTCCTCCCCCCGATTGTTTTATATTTTCCATTCAAACAAATCAAATTCTATTAAAAAAAAAAATCGTTTGTTGTTTGTTGTTTCGACATTTAACATAAATAACCCCGCTCGACGTTACATCATTTTTTTTTTTTTAACAAATCCGCGTAAGAAAAAAATAATAATAATAATTACAAACCGACAAACAACAACCCTTAGATTTAATTAATACGACAAACAAACAATCCGGGTGCAAAACAACAAACTTGCGTTTGTACAAATGAAAAAAACAATCGATTTAAATTTAACGGTCATATTTTTAAACGTAACGGTCGACATAAGAGGTTTATTAAGTTTTTTTTTTTAAATTTAACGGTCGATCGATCGATCGATCGATACAATAATAATAATAATAATAATAATGGTTACGAAAATAAATTATCACGATGATGATGATGATGATGATGATGATAATAATAATGAAATTGCAAAAAAAAAAAAAGAAAAAGCATAAAAATAATCCGGTTTTAAGAGGAGTAGAAAGAGGAGGAGGTAAGTGTGTATATTGCTTAAAAAAAAAAAAAGGTAAATTAAAGTCGTCGTCGTCTGCTGATTGGCGGTAAATAAAATTGATTGGTTACAAAAAAAATTCCGGTTTTTTTTATCATTTCGTACGATTTTCTAACCTTGAGAAGGCGGTGGTGGCGAACTCGAGATTAAAAATTTTTTTTTTATTTCTTATTAGATTTTGTTTATTTAACAACTTGTCCATTTCGTATCGGGTGTTTGTTGTTGTTGTGGTGATAATTTTTGTTTGTTTAAAATAAGGTTAGTATATATTATTATTTATATCGTTTTTTTTTAATTTTTGATTTTTTTTGGAGGGAAAAATGTCATCCCTTCAAGAAAGATGCAGTAACCGTTTTTTTTTTTTATCCCTTCCACAAATTAAGCAATAGAAATTACAACGGAATTTTTTTATATTTATTTATTTATTTTAAATTACCCGCGGATTTTAATTTTTATTTTAATACATAAAAAAATTTAAAATAGTCGGTGTGAATAAATCCAGGTGAGAAGTGTTCATTTCTTTTCTTTTTTTTAAAATTTTTTCGCGGTTTTTTTTTTTTAAATTTAAATTTTAAAAGAGAGTAAATAAAGTCAAATTTTTTTTTTTTGTATTTTTTTCGTTTTTTTTTTTTTATATAAAAACCGTTAAAATTTAAATTTACCGCGTTTTTTCGTTTATTTTTTCTTTAGTATTATTATTATTATTCGGATTTATTTCATAGAAAAAATAATTTAAAATTTTTCGCGGTTTTTTCTTCTTTTTTTTTATTTAAACAATTTTGTTAATTTTTGTAGTGAAATTTTTTTTTTTTTTTTTAAAATTTATATTCAATAGAGTTTTGAATTCGCCGACATTTTGTTTTTTTTTATTTGTTTAAATAAAAAAAATACGTGAACGTAATTTTATTTTGTTTAACGAAAAATAATCTAATTCCACTACAATTATTTTATAAAATATTTTTTTTAGTTTTTTTTGTAAATAAAATATTAATTCGAGCGGTTTGTTAAAAAATTACGTTACAATATGTCTGCCTTGACATTTTTAATGCTTTCACAATTTTTATAAATTTTTAAACTAGAAAAATTCATTAAGTAATTTTTTCTGTTTAATTATCACGTGGGAACCTTCCGCCCCCTCGGTTCCCACCCCCACCCCCAGCCCCCCGGTACGCACGCTTTTGATAACAAAAAAAACCGTTGATAACGTTTCATATTAAAATTTTTTTTTTTTTTTGTTTCTCCTCCAGGTATTTAGAACTAAATTAATAATAATAATAATAATAATGGCTCGAATTCACACGTTAATGTTGGTAACATTTATTGTTGTTATCAATTCGATTGTCGTCTTATCAGAAACTCAAAATTCCGATTTAAAACTCGATAAGGAATTGGATCCGATTGCACAAGTACGTATACACTCTCTCTCCCGTTTCCTGTTCTCCCCTCCCCCGCTTCCCGGCATCCCCCTCTTACCCGGGGGAAAATTTTAACCTCATTTATGACGTCATTATTCCTTTTTTTTTAGGAAGTCATAATAACGACGGAAGATTCCGAGGGAGGAGAAAGAGATAAAAGATTTATATTGAAAAAAATCGGACTCAAAGCTGGACTCATTCATTTAGTATTCGGGGTAAGATGATAATTATTATTATTATTATTATTATTACTTATCAAATTGTTATCACAAAAAAAATCACGTGATTATTTATCAAAACAAAAACGTTGAATTATTAATTTCACGTATATATTACGATGATGATGACGATTATTTTTTTTTTTTCGTTTCAGACGTTTATTATGTGACTGACATTTGACCTTACGGGGGGGGGGGGAATTTTTTTTTTTTTGACCCTTAGGTACAAACGACAACGACAATCACGACAAACAAGTTTATGAGACATTATTTGTTTTAAAGACACGTCAAATTTAATTGATATTAAGTAAAAAAGGGATTTCATAACAATTACAAAATAAAAGTGAGTCGTTGATATAACAAACACCGTCCGGTCACCATAAGGTACAAATTATTGATTATTTTATTTTTTTCTTTTTGCGTAAGAAGCAGAAGAAAACGCGCACGCACTCACGCACACACATGCACACACCTTTCGATTAGATTCTCGTACCACGTTATGGGTTTTTTTTTTATAAAAACTTATGCAACGCGATGATGAGATTTGATGATATTGTCACGTGTTATTATCATTATTATTAATTTACGTTTGTTTGTTTGTTTGTAGAAAATCGATTCGATCATAGATGCAAAAACTCGAGCCGTTAACGAATTCGACAAGTTGAACGTAATTAAAAATCAAAAATATTTCGGAATAACTCCTCATCCTCCGATACATCACTTCAATAACGAATTGGTTAGTAGTCTATTGAATGCAAAAGCTAAATTTGTTAGTTCGGCCGTGTCATCAGTTTTACAAAGTAAATTAACTCACGCGACTGGAGCTTTGGGAGCAGCACTCAGCGGACACAAAACACATCATCAGGTATATACTACTTCCGGTGTTACAAAACCCGTCGTGACGACAGTCACAGCCGTAACTCCAGTCGTTGGAGCAGGAGTAGGAGTAGGAGTATCGTTGCCAAGCGTCGCAAGTGCTTCTTTCGGTACGTCTGCAGGAGTTGGAGGTGGTAGCAGCGGTAGCAGTGGTGCATCCGTCGGAGCAAGTGCATCATTACCAGGTTTGGCGAGTGCTTCTTTCGGAGCCGGAGCCGGTATACCATTAACAGCTGGCGGTGGTGCATTTTCAGCCGGAGCATCCATACCCGGATTGGCTGGTGCGTCTTTCGGAGCTGGTGGATCTTTCCCATTATTCGGTGCTCATTTGGGAGCAAACGAACGCATCATCGGAATCACGCACATTAAATAAAATACACACACAATTATTTATTATTAGAAAATGCCATATCCCATTTTTAATTATTATTATTATTTACACACAAATCACACGCACGCACACATCACATATCAATTTCGGCTTCATTTTCTTTTTTATTACTCTATGACGTACGTATAAATCTAACCTAAACGCAAACGAACGAAAAAAAGAAAAAAAACAAATTTTTTTTCCTTTATTCTTTCTTATTTTTTTTTTCCTTATTCATTATTCTATCGAATCCATGTATAATTTATGTTAATAAATAAATAAATAAATAAACTTTTAATAATAATAAAATAAAAAAATTCGTTAAAATTCGTTAAATTTAAAAATAAAATATCTGTGATATTTATTTATAATCATAAATAAATAAATAATTTTTTCTTATTTTTTTCTCGTCTACCATCCTTCCGGCTTTTTTTTATTTATTTATTTATTTATTTTTATTATCATTATTATTATTATTATTATTTATTTATTTTTTATAAATACACTTTTCAAAATTTTTATGACTCTATTACAATTATTATTATTATAAAATATAAAAAAAAAACAATAAAAAAATTTATTTATGCATTCATTCATTTTTAAACACACACGTATACAAAAATAAACAAAACAAAACCTTAATAATTTATTATTATTATTATTATTATTGTCATGTAGTTTCTATAGATTTCTAGAAATTTTTATTTTAAATCCCCCCTCACCCCACCTTTCTCCCTTTCAAGAGGAAATTTTTTTTTTTACATTTAGAAAAAAATGAAGTTGTTACACGACAACACGATCAATCAATCAATCAATCAATCAATCAATCGTTTGTTTGTTTGTTTGTTTAATTGTTTAATACAACAACAAAACATAAAACACGTTACAAGGTTTTTTGTAATAAAAAATACCCAAACACCAAAAAAAAATTTTACACGACGCCATTGTTTTTTTTTTTTTTTTAAATAATAATTACTCGTAACCTCGATTTTGTAAATTTTTTTTTTTTTTTAAATAAAATTAGAGAGAAAGAGAGAGAGAGAGTAAAATTATTTGCTCTAATTTTTATTTTATTATTATTATTATTATCATAATTGACGTAATGATAACACGTATCAAAACGAATTTGTATGTATAAATTAAAAAAAAAAAAAAAAAACGCGAAAACTCGTGGAGGAAAATTTTTTTTTTTTTTTAAATTTGTTTTCTTAAAAAAAAATGTTTCCGATTTTATTTGTAAGATGTCACCATCGTCGTCAATTTTCTCGTCAAAATTTTTTGAAATTTTTTTTCCAGCGGTACCAACTTAATTAAAAATAATTACGAAATAATTATTAAAATTTAGTATTATTATTAAACTTGTTAAATAATAATAATAATATCGGTCGACGGGGTGACGTTACCCTTGATCCGATTTAATTATTATTATTAATTTTAAAAAAATCTTCCACGAGTTTTCGAAAAAAAAAAAAAAAAAACAATATGGCGGCTAATTGTTACTTTATTTGTGTTTAAGTTATGAAATTTTTGTAAAAATTTTTTTTTTTTTCGGCTTTGTTTCTTCATTAGGTTTTTTATTTTTTATTTTTTTTTTGTTCCAGAATAAAACAACGACTCCTCTACCGATAACATTCGATTTAGATTCTCCAGTAAGTTTAGAAATTCCAGATCAACTTTACGGTAGTTCATTTACACTCGTTACAAACGCATCGAAAATTATAAGCAACGTCATTTACGTAAGTTTTAAAAAAAAAAAAACGGAAAATGTTTTTTTTCCCATCATTTTTCCGTTAATTATTTTGTCTGGGGGGGATGGTTTTGTTTTTTCCAGAACACAGCAGACAGAGCACAAGAATTTGCCGAAAGAATTAATTCTGGACTCAGACATAAATTTGGATATTCAAAAAAATTTATACAAATCGGGGATCACAATGGAAAATCTTAAAATCGAATGAAAACAAATTTACAACAACAACAACACCAGCAGAAGAAAACAATCCTAAACTTTTACCCCCCCCTCCTACTTATAAGAATAATAATAATAATAACATGAATTTATTTATATAAAAGAAAAAAAAATATTAATGAATGATAACAATAATAATAATAAAATTATGCGTTATCATTGATAATTGTTTTTTCATTTGATAACCTTTTACCTTTCTCTACTTAAATAATAATAATAATAATTAAATCTTTTAATTAATATGTAAAATAATAATAATAATAATAATTTTAAATTGGTGTCAAAAAAGAAAGAGATAGAGAGAGAGAGAGAGAGAAAAAAAAAATCAATTACGAGTAATAATTATCGATTTTTCTATTTTCACGGCCGTTTAAATAAATAAAAAATTATTGAAAAATTAATAATAATAATAATAATAATAATAATAATAATAATAATAATAATAATAAAATAAATTAATGTCAATCATGTTTGTTTGAAAAAAAAATTTTTTTTAAATTTATTATAAAAATAATCATAATTATTATTATTATCGGCGTAACCTTTTTTTATTAACCTTAAAGGTTGTAAATATAAATAATAATAATAATAATAAAAAATATGAAGTCAAGGTACGATTAATGTACCTTCGGGAACGATTTTTTCCTTTTTTTTCCAAATGATAAATAAATAAATAAATTTCCCTTGAATTTAAATTGGGGGAAAAAAAAATTTGTCACCTTCGAGAACGTTCTATAATTATTTCCAATCGATTCGTTTAGATTTAAATTTAAATTTAAATTTAAAATAGGTAATAAAAGGTAATTGATTTTTTCAAGGTACTAATCGAGTGATAATTATTAGAAAATTTTTAGAAAATTAAAAAAAAAACAAAAAATTTCCTCGTGTTACGAAATTTAAATACGACTATTGATAAGTATTGACATCTAACGGAAATTTTATAAACTAAAAAATACGTTAAACTTTATTTGTTTCCCCCCTTCCCCCATCATTTGCAATTTCAAAACGAAATTAATTTTATTTACTTATTAAAGCAGAAGATAAATTAAAAAAAAAAACAATTAATCCGTTAAACGATTAAAAAGAAATTTTTTTTTTAACCTTTTAACCTTTTACAACAATTACTTAATTAATTTTTTAATAATAATAATAATAAAATTCGATTTTGAAAATTGATTTGTAGTAAAAACATTAAATATGAAAATTAAATTTTTAAAAACGAACAAACGACCTCGATTTCATTTTTAAAAATTTATTTTTAATTTTATTTGTTATAATAAATAAATAAATAAATAAAAATGCGACAGATTGTGTGTCGAAACATTGCAAAATATCAAAGGGTTGAACTTCGTGACGTCACAAAACTAAATTCTTTAGTTAATAATAAACAAACGTCATCATTGAAAAAAAAAAAATTTTAAATTCATTTGTGCTAAATAAAATGCAAATAAATAGAAAAAAAAGGAAAAAATTATGTCACCATTGAATATTATTATTATTATTATTATTACTAATGGCGGCGTCGACAATGCCAACCCGATTATGTCGTTCGGGTTTTTTCTTTTTTTTTTTTTTTTGTTTCACTCGAACGAATTTCGTAAAAACCGTCGAAAACAAAACGAAAAAAAAATATTTATTTAATTATTCATAAATTCTCCATAATAATAATAATAACGAAGAAAAATGGAAAAACACGTGACGCGTTCAATCAAAACCATAGAGTAAATAAATATTAACGAAAGTCGATCGATCGGTCGATGTATGAAACGAGATTTTTGTTTCAAAATGGCGTCATCACTACTTTTACTTCCTTTTCGGTGCATTCTCTTTTAAAATCGTTTTTAATTTATTTTAAAATAATACAATGCAAAAATTATTATTATTATTAAGTTTTTTACATATGTCACGTGACAGGGAAAAGTTAATATTTGAAAAAAAAAAAAAAAAAATGAAAATCATGTAATTAAAATTCAAAAACGAATTTACGTCATTATTGATAATAATTTTGAATTACGTGGTGATAAACTTTTTTGTTTTGTCGAAACGACTCGAAATTTAAATAAATGACAATCGATATATCGATATTATTATATACTCTATGATTTTCGTGTTCGTGAGATTTCGTTTTCAATCGTGTTTCGTAACATTACTTCGTCGATGTTCTTCGTAACGGATTTATTAACGTTAACGATAATTTTTGTCGATTCGGTGATTTCCGGTTTTTTTACCCGCGGAATTATTATTATTACCACACGAGGAGGTATTAAGAGGTGGCGGTGGCGACGGTGGCGGTGGTGGTGGTGGGAGAAGGAATTACGATTGTTCTCCTTCTCCAACATTCTCATTTTGTTTTTTTTTTTTTCATTGTAATATTTTATTCGTTAAAATTAAAAACGTTTAAATTTTTTTATTTTCTTGTTTGTTGTTTGTCGTTTTATTATTATTATTATTATTATTATTATTAATATTATTTAATTTTAAATTATTATATAAAAAAATTAATTAATGTTCGGTGTTGTTGTTCGAGTTTGAAAATTTTTTTTTCGTGTAACTTTTTTTTTTAAAAATTTTGTTTGTTTTTGTCACTTTGATGAATTGAACGCGCGTTTTTTTAAAAAAGGTTTGTCCGTTTGTTTGTTTGTTTGTTCGTTTATTTGTTCGTTTCTTTTATTAAATTCGGGTAAGTGAATATAAAAAACGTGTACACGTAACAGATATTATTAAAAAAAAATTTTTATAACGTAAATGTTGCGGTAATTTTTTTTTTTTTTTTAATTAACACACGTTACTCACGCGCGTGATTTATTTATGACGTAATAATAATAATAATAATAATAATAATAATAATAATAATAATAATAATAATAATAATAATAATAATAATAATAATAATAATAATGATGATAATAATAATTCCGACTGGGAAAATATTTTTATTTATTTCGTTACTTTTTTCTTTCTCCAGAATAACAATCATTTAATCAATGTCAATGTTAATCCTCATTTAATCCTATAAAAAAAAAAAAAACGTTTGTTTTTGTTTGTTATCAATCCTTATCACGTGATCGACCTGGAAACGTTTTTTTTTTTTATTAAATGATAATAACGCATTGAAAAACCAAAGTGAATCTTTTTTTTTTTAAATCAAATAATTTATCGAGTACGACAACCTTGTACTTTCACTCATCCAACAACAACAACAAACAACGTTTTTTGTTTGTCACGTTTGCACTTCACTTTAAAAATAAATCAAAAAAAAAATTTTAATTTTTTGTTTGTTTGTTTGTTTGTTTTCCAGGAAAAAATGTTTAATTAGAGAAAAGAAAAAAGAATAAAAAATGATGATGATGATAATAATAAGAATTTTATCAATATTATTAATTGTATTAAATAATAATAATAATAATAATGCAAATGGACAATTTGTCGATGGTAACAAAGGACAAGGCAACCAGGTACGTATTTTAACCTTATCTCGTTTTTTTCGACGATAATAATAATAATAATAATTAAATAACCTTCGGGAATTAATTTTCCATAAGGGATAATTTTTTTTTTTTTTTTTTAATTTTGCTCAATGGGAAAAGCGAGAGAGGGAGGGAGAGAGGAGGAGGGAAAGAGGAAGAAAGAGAGAGAGGGGGTGAGAAAGGTCATAAGGTAAAATCAAGGTTTTAGGTGTAAACAATCATAACCGTGACATACTTTTCGTTATAAATAAAGCAAACGTTTATTGATCATTATTATTATTATGACGATGATAATGATGACGATGATAATGATGATGATAATAATGATGATGATGATGATTATGATGATGAATAATTTTCTTGTTTTTTTTTTTTTTTAATTCGTTTTCACGGTTCTTCGTTAGAAAATTTCATAATTTTTTTTATTTATTTATAAAATTATCAAATTATTATTAATAAAAAACATAAAATTAAACCTTGAATTTAAAAAAAAAGGAAAACCAAAGGAAAAAACCAAAGGAAAACCAAAGGAAACGTTAAATTTATATAATTTTTTTTTTTTTTTACAGGCGATTTCAAATTATTACGGATTTAACGTAAACGATAATTTTCGGGTGATGAATCCACGTGTCAATAGACAAACAGATACGAATGCAACAACGACGACGACAACAACAACAACAACACAAAGACCTAGAAAACATCGTCCATCAAATATATTTAATTTTATAAAAGAACTCGTAACGGAAGTGAGTACAAAAAAAGGAAATGGAAACTTATTAAAATTTTTCTTTTTTTTTATTTTGTTTGTTTGTTTGTTTTTCCAGACGAAACAAGAAACAAACGATGCCGTTAATGAAATAAGAACACTTTTTAATTCACAATTTGTTAATACAACACAAAACGAAACGGATTCAATGGTAATTATTACCTTTTTCTATAAATAAAATTTTTAAAAATTGATGGATCGTTAATTACATTTTCTTTTTATTAATTATAGATTTACCCATTTCGTAAAATGGCGGATAAACCGGTTTATCAAATAAAACCTTGGCCCCTTTTAATAAAAAAAAAAAAAATATTTAACATATCCCCCCAACAAAAAATTTTAAACAATAAACAAATCGTAAAAATTATTTTTAGATGACTACGACGACGACGACAACGTCAACGGGTACCATAACGGTAACATCAACAAATGCAACACAAGGAGAAGATGGTGGTGGTGGTGGTATTGGTGGTAGTGGTGGCAGCAGCACCAACAGCAACGATGACGATGAAGAAGACGACGAAGACGAAGAAGAACCCTTAAGATTAACAAGAGAAGAATTTTTAACCGTCGTCAGAAACAATCTTAAAGGTTTAGCTGATTTATTAAGAAGAGAATGGGAAGTCGCTTTAAGAGTAAGAATCCAATTATTATTATTATTATCTTCTGCCACGTCACATAATTTAATATACCCTTATTTACTTTGACCGGAAAGAATTATCACGCGACAACAACTTGTTTTAACGATCATCACACAAACACAAACAAAAATGGCGAAACAAAAATACTTCCTATTAAACTTTTTAAAGAAAAACTCGTTCAACTGCATTTATCTTACACGCAACGAATTAAATTAATAATGATAATGATAATGATAATAATAATAATAATGATAATAATGCGTAAGAATAATTTTTTCAAATATAAAAACAACAACAACAATGATATAAAAAAAATGAAAAAAATTAAATTAAAAAAAAAAGGGTGGAGAGAAAGAATTTATTGTTTTGAAACAGTTTTAAAACAATATTTTATAGCGGAGTTGGACAAAAAAACGTTTGTGTAACGATAACAACACATTAGGGCGAGAATAATTAAGAAATTTTTTTTTTTCTTTTCTGTTTTACCTTCGAATAAATTTAAATTTAAATAAATAAAAATAAAAAATTCTAGAATTACAAAATTTTACCACGTAAGTTTTTTTTAAATCGTTTATTATTATTATTATTATTATTATTATTATTTAAACTGTTTTTAACGGTCGCTATGAAAAGTTTAGTATAGTTCACATTGAATAATCATCGATGATAATTTTTTTTTTTGTTTTACATAATGGTGTAAAAATCTCAAAAATTTATTCACATAAAAATAATTTAAAATTTATTATTATTTTTGGCAAAGGTTTCGTATTTATTTATGTAAAAAAAATTTAATATTAATATAAATAATAATATAAATAATAATAAATTTTACGTTAAAAAAAAAAATAAAAAAATGGCGTCGAATCGAAATTATTTAATTTAAATTTAAAATTTTTTTTTTGCATGATGACGGACGCGGGGGGAGAGGGGGGAACGCTTTACATACATTTGCGATTTTATTATTATTAACCGCAAAATACGTAAAAGTGGTAAAAGAAAACAAATTGAGGTAGTGACACGACGAATTCAATTTAACATTTTATTAATTAAATACTTTCTCTCTTTCATTATCGTGAATTTTTATAATAATAATAATAATAATAATGAAAGCATTTAATAAATTCACGCTATTGAAAAAAAAAAAAAGGTGTTTGATATTACGTAATAAATAATTAAAATAAATAATGACGTGTCATTGAATTTTTAATTTTATTTTTTTTTTATTTTCAGGATTCGAATAAAAACGTGCAAGAATTTAAACGAGATTTTAAAAATGCCGTACAACCGTATTTCACGTGACGCTAACAAAATTTATTTTATGTTTTTTTCGTTAATATTTTTTTTATACGATCGTCTAAAACCACGTTTATTATAACACCAAGTAACTAAAAAAAATAATAGTGATGTATTATTAAGTATTTTTTTTTAAAATATTTATTTCGTTACATAATCGTTTCAATTACGATTTACGGCCGCCATTTTTATTTAAATAACGATCGACTGACGATTTTAAAGAAAAAAATCAAAATGGCGTCGTCGTCGTCGACGTCATCGTTGGCGGCATTTTATAGAAAAATTTTTACGAATTTATTTTTAAAAAATAAATTTTTGTAAAAAATTTTGTAATTTCGCGTTTTGTAATTGATATAATAATAATAGAAAAGGAAAAAGGTGAAATAAATATGTGGTTTGAAAAAAGTCACAGAGTAAATAAACAAATTATGTAAAGTGATATACGTCATCGAAAACAACAAAATGGCGGCGGAGGCGTACTCGACGCGCGCGCGTTTATATTTATTAATATAAATTTTAATTTTAATGAAAAAAATAATAATAATAAGGTTTGACGATCGTGTTTAAATTAAATTTGATAACGTTATCAATTAATAAATGTATGTAAATAAAAATTTATACGTATTTTAAATATATATATTTTAATTAAATAAAAATTAAAAAATTGATTTTTTTTTCACGTAAGGGAGTTAAATATTAATTTTTATCAAACGTTTTCCAATTTTGGAATCCTGGAAATTTATCCGATAAGGGGTTAAAGGAGTTATTTTAAGGAAATATTTATGATGATAATGATAATGATTTAAATTTTAAATGTTGAACCGTCCGAAGCTGGATAAAGTCCAGCAATTTTCGAAGCTCTCGATCTTGTTCCCCTTATCGTTGACGTATGATAAGACGTTTGTATTCTTTGATTTTGTGGCCTGGATATTCTTTGCGGTTTTGGATTTCTTTGCGGCCTATTTTGCGGTCTACTTTGAGGTCTCCTTTGTGGTCTTTGATATTGTTGATAAGACATGCTAGCCAAGGGTCTTTGACTCTGTTGATAAAGGATTTCTCCGAGGGGTCTCGTTCCCTGTATAAGCTTACTCACGGCAGTTAATGTTTGTATGGGAATCTGTAATCGTTATCCATGTGATGTTTTCATAAGTTGTTGTTTATTCTTTTTTCTTTTAATTATTGCCCACCCCCCCCCCCGCTCCTCGCAAAAAAAATCAGGTTTGAAAACGTTTGAATAATAAATTTTTAAAAAAATTATTTTTCACTTTCTAATTTATCCGCATTTAAAATTAAAAATTCAATTTTGTAATTACGTATTATTATTATTATCATCATCATTATTGAATAATGACGTTTTAAATCAATAATAATTAAAATTAAAAATCAAATTTCGAATTTTTTGACGTAATTTATGGGTTTAAAAAAAATTATTTTCGTATTTATTATCGTTTATTATAAAATATACGTAAAAAAAAAATCAGCCTAATAAATTAAAACTATGCAACTTGTTTGACTTGCGTGTATTTATTAAGAATAAGCGGAAAAAAATGTTTTTTTTTTTTTTTTAATTTGAAATATTAATGCGTTTAAAAACGAAAAAAATCAATCAATCATTCAATCAGTCAATAAAAGAATCAATAAAATAAATAACGATAAATCGATAAATAAT